GGGGGGGGGGGGGGGGGGGGGGGATAATAATAGGTGCAATGGTGCGTCGTGTTTAGTTGCAGTGAAGATATTGGTTGGTGGGTAGAATTTTTTAGTGAGGGGGGATCCGGTTTTTTTCAGGGTAGGCGAGCATTGTCCCCCTCCCCCCTCTTGGCTACCTGTAGCTACGGAACCAGATTTCCAAATTGAATTTGAGGCTACTTGAGATACATTAATTTTATTTTGTAACATATATTTGTAGGCTATATCATTTGTTATTATCTCTCTTTAATTCAACTCTTCTTTAGAGGAGACTAAAAACGCCAATTAGTTAGGGCACAGTTCACTTCGAAATACTTTGTTGCATTAAATAAGTATAGTACATCTTTTACTAACTAAATTCACTGTTGACTATGAAAACATCACATCGACATAATTATATTTAATTTTGCATTGCTTAAAAACATGTGAGCATTTTGTCTGAATGAAGCTCTAATCGTCAGGATAAGCTTTAAGTGGTAGGGTAGATGAAACGAATTTAACACAAGCATGGCGACAAGCTTTTAGTTGTGAAAAAGTCGTGTGAAAATTCATTCAAAATAAGGCGTATTAGCCAAATGAAAGAGGTGAACTTGTTTTCGAATTGTAAATCAACAATCAGTGAAAGTAATGTACACTTTTGTGCATCAAGTTCCATATAACGTTTCGCCTAATATCGAGAATTCATATCGATTTGTTCTGAACCAAAATCAACGGTCACAAACATTTCCATTGTCAGGAGCAATACGAGCACCGTTTACAGTCCAAGAACAGATTCCAAGTTATAGATATCCTGTACCAACAGTACTGCAAGAAAGACACTACCCCCAAGTACTGTATCGGACTCGTGATTCCACACTGAATGATGTTCAAAATGTCTATGGATCACCAGTTTATTATTCTCAAATCCCTCCACCAAGTCCAGCAGATATAAGTTATCTGAAAGAAAGTATTCGGACAGACATTTTGAAAAAATTGAATCACGATAGTGTTCATGCTAAAGACATTGCTGACAATAATCCACAACAGAATATTAACGCTGTGACTGGTTTCGTTGATATGAACAACCAGCAATATCACCAAGGTCCTTCTACCAGTTACGTCTCACAGCTTGGGAAAAGGGGGCGTTTCAACGATGTCCGATATACCAATAACAAGAAGGCTCGTACAGTTGGTAGAGACTTTGGACGAAATGACGAAGAATATAGTCAATATCCAATACCATCACCAAATATGGTCAAATTAAGTGGAGGTTTACAGGAAGTTTCAAATTCTATATGGCACTACTATTTACAAAATCAACAATCTGAAGAAACATATCAACGAAAGATTTTATTAAGAAAATGTTTGTATGCGGTGCTTCAGGGAGTTTTTCCTTATTGTGGCTTATATATTGTTGGGTCATCCATGAATGGATTTGGAACTCTAAAAAGTGACATGGATCTGTGTCTAATGGTATCCAACAAAATGGTGGACCAGAAAAAAGAAGCCACTGAAATTTTGTTCAATATTCATAAAGCTTTGAGAAAGTGTTCATTCATTTCTCAAGCCAGTGTTATACGTGCCAAAGTTCCGATAATGAAGTTCAAAGACAAGATTAGTAATGTAGATTGTGATTTGAATATTAATAACTCAGTTGGGATACGAAATACTCATCTATTAAAGTATTATGCCTCTATAGATTGGAGAGTTCGGCCACTGATGATATTTATCAAGCACTGGGCACGATTCCATGACATCAATGATGCTCGAAAGACAACAATATCAAGCTATTCATTTGGGTTAATGTTAATTCATTATTTACAAGATGGGTGTGAACCCAAGGTGTTGCCATCCTTACACAAACTTCACCCAGAAATGTTTTCCTCTACTTCTGACATCAGACAATTAAAACTTAACGAAAATCTCAAATTTGAAACGAAAAACAATCAGTCTTTGGGAGAATTATTCCTGGGATTTTTAGATTACTATAGTAACAAGTTTGATTATGAGACATATGCTATAAGTGTTCGATTGGGAACCAAATTACCAAAGAGAATAATTGCTCAACAAACAGACAATATTAGACAGTGGAAATATCTGTGTATAGAAGAACCATTTGATTTGTCAAACACAGCAAGAGCTGTTTATGATGACTATGCCTTTATCAGAATCAGAAGAGTGTTTCGTGTCAGTTTTCATAAACTCAATCAAAAAAGAGATGTGAGTGCCATTTTGAACCAACCATTTTAAACATTGACAGCAACCCTGACTATTTAGGATCTTTCAAAAGGTATAAATACCTTGGACTTTCGGTGCGATATTGAATTTTGAAAATTTAACTTTGAATGACAGGTATATAACATTGTGAATAGACAGAATTTCTTCATAATAAACATTGGTTCTGAAACTAGTAAGCGGTGTAGAATTGTTTTTAATTTGAAATGTGAAAGGTTGTTAAATTTGTAAAATATGGATCTAAAAAAAACTGTGAAAAATCCATGCTGCCAGTATTTACGAATCAAAGTTGGATAAATTAGGACATCTGTTAAGCCAAAGACATAATTAACAGTCATAAACAGTTTGATATTCTCAAATTTCATCATGATTTACAATTAAATTATGTTCCTGTGCAATGGCTGGGAATAACTAAACTGGTTAAAAAAAAACAACTAAATTTTACCAATGGACTCTTCTTAACATGTCAAACAATTTATCATATTGATAAAGATATGCATGTGAAGAACAGCTGGGGTGTAAGATCAGTGACAGAATGAAGTATGAACACTCTATAATTATCAATAAATGGAGATATCAAGACTTAATCAAACTTTGTTATAATTGGATTGAGAAAATTTTGTTTATGACTGTCTGTGTGTTAAATCTAAACTTTGTTGGTGATCGTTCAAACTTGAAAAAAATCAGGAAGTCCCAATAAAAGGCAGCGAAAAAATATGTCTCTTTAAATTAAAGAAACAGCCTTAATAAGTTGCAAATTTGTTAAAAAGTTGTTATTTGTAAAATCCATGTAAATTATATGTTAATAATTATTATTTTATTTTTTGTTTGAAATTAATCAGCTTCTTGTCAAAGCTTGATAGTTTGTTTTTATGGAAAATTATTAATAATGACAAAAAAATCAAGAATTCATGGGAGTGATGCAAATGGTTTCTCTCTGCTTGACACAATCTGTATTTATTATCTGTATCCATTTTTTTCTACATTCAGTGAAATTTGTATGCATTTGCATCTTTGAGGCCATTTTACATGTTAGATAAGTATGCCAGTTTCCTGAAATCTTCAAGTTTTATTCCGATAGTGTATATATTATTTATAACAATTATTCAACTAAAGAAAGTAGATAATCCATTAGGTTATTCTATTAAACTGATAATGTATTCAGAGCCGATTAATTTTGTATTTACTTGTCAAATCATATACTATTATGTGTTGGAAGTCCTTAGATACAAACTTTTAAAAAGTTGTATTACATATCTTTTCAAAACTGTATTTTGTGGACCTTTAACAGATAAGCAATGGTATTAAAGATGATATTGTTCATAGATTGTGTATTCAATGTCTTCAAGTATGTGTATAGATTCTGTGAAAACATGCCTTGCTCCTTGAATTCTTGAAATTTTTATAATAAATTTTAACTCGACCCCAAATCCTTTGTTTTTATTTCCCATATGTATCAAAAAGTATGATCATCTTCATCTCTGTAGTAATACAAGTAAAATTTGATCAGGCCACAACGTGTTTCCTGATTAGAAATAAGCAAGATGGAGTGATGACTGAGATAAGCATTGTTATTTTGGGAAGGGGAGATACAAAGAGATCATATAAGGCTGATCTCTCTACTAAACAAAAGCAGTTCAACTCATCTGATATTAGTTATTGGTCAGCACCAGACAATTGAAAGCCAGACTATATATTATAATTCATGTGCCCTGCTTCTAATAACATGGGAGTAAAATCACTAGGCCTACCCGCATAAATTCAAAATACACTCGCCAACCTGCAGTTATTTTATAAAGACAAGCATCACCTTGAATTAACCCTCAATTAACTGTTTGAACCCTGAGTGTAAATGAAATATAGTCATATATCCTGAACTCCAAGTACCGGGTAATGAAAGTAAAAGAGTATGACGTTAACTTAGAAACGACTGTTATACTGGCTGTTCGAGTATATATTGCGTTATTGTGTGGCTGGTAAACTGGCCGCTAGGGTTGACAGGGTTAAAAAGGACAAAAACACTGATTTAGAAAATAACAATTTTATTGATGAAATTAGGGAGTAAAACGTAACGCAGTGGGAGATAATCTTCCTAATGGTGTATCAGTTAATAATAATGAATGTCTTTCCATTGTAATAGAGCCAGTACTAGCATCCATATCCATAGATCCATGAATATCAGCATCAGTCCTCCCTCGTTCATTCTGTATTGTCCTTAACAATGTTTTTGCTTCTTCTCTAGTCTGAAAAGAAAGGGGGGAAAACCAACCATATTGCAGTTTTATAGCTTGAAAGCTTTACCTAAAGATAGTAAGAGAAAGAACATCCATTGTTAAAAGGAAGCAAGGCAAGGATATTGTCTACCAAATGGTCTTTAGTCAAATCTTTTCATATTGGCCTTTTCAGGATTCAAATAAAATATTGCTGCTACTGTGGTGAAAATCCATTAAAGCAGCAATAAGTTTTGGACACGTCTTTTATTGACCAAACATAAAATAGAACATGTCTACAAGCTAAGTTATTGTCTGACACTTACCTCTGTAAATTCTGCACATTTGTGAGCAGCAGCATAAGCGTCATCCCATTGTTTTCTGGCCAGATAATAATTAGCTAAATATCTATAGGCTTGTCCTTGTTCTTCATAACTTGTAAACTGAAAAGAATTATTTCTTAAATCAGATAAATTCATAATTCCATTGCATATAATGTGATCTGGTCAAGAGTTTATGTAACATCAGGAACCACATGAACCAGTGTGATAACCAGTATGGTCCAAAAGCTATAAGCATCACTGATACAGATACAAATGCTAGAAATTCTTTTCTCCTCTCACAGATATCTGCAGTTGATTTCCGTCATCTCATAAGGAAAATATTTAGATGATTACATCTTTTGACCAATATCGAACTCAATACGTACCCCTTGTGTTTCTGCTTTATTGATATATTCTAAATATGCTGATGCTGCTTGTTCTTCTTCATTCAGTTTCTCATACAACCTGTATAATTAAAACAATATACAATATCTAAGTCAAAGAAATCTAACACTACCCTAAGCTATGACTTATGATCTTTTGACCAAAGGACCCCTTGCATTAAAGATTATTGCAGTAACTGCACTGCATTTAATATTTTCACAAATTGTTTGTCTTTCCTTCAGTAACCTATTGATGTGAACCAACTTGTTCAGTAGAAAATAACAAAACACCTCAAAAGGCCTTGATTTTCTAAATGCTTAGAAGGTGCTCAGTAAGGATCCTCTGGATATTGGACAAGACATAGACCTCATTCAACATTCATTGCATACCTTGAAATTGTATATACAAGGTTCAATCACTACTTACTTGGCTAATTTTAATAAAGCCATTCCCTCTAGATCACCAACACTGTGAGCTTTCCAGAAACATTTCTTAGCTTCTACAAGTCTGTCTAGTTTCTCGTAACATTCACCTAAAGCTACCACCATCCTAGAATCACTAGGTCTAAAAATAATACAAAACTTCAAGACCTAGACCGGTGCTTCTGTTTATTGAAGATACTATGTCACGCTAAACAAAACTCGAAAATGCTAAAAAGTTGCTTCAGAGACACATTTGAGGGAGAAAGACACGTAAACATAAAAATCTATTAAATTTATTTCTTTAAGCTTAATTACTATAGTGCACATCCCTTCCGAAGGGGGTCCTTTTGGGGGTAAAAATCTGTGTTTTATACACCCAAATATACGATATATAACTATCCAAAATACAATCATCAAGTTGAAAGAAAAAAGCCTTACCTCAATAATTGAGCCCTCATATAGTAATACAGAGAATAATTAGGCATTTTTAATATTTCATATGTTTGTCCTAAACCATACCAAGCTCGAAAATCTCTTTTATTAACTTCTATAAATTAAGAAAGGAACAATCATTAGAATAAATCTGATCCTAATATTCAGCTGAATTACATCTGTAATAATGGACATATTTCAAGGATTAGAAAAAGTACAAATAAGATCAACCAACATGGGATATCTACCAATAATTCCAGTAAATTTAGATAAATTTGTCAAAAGTATTAACTAACACATACACTTTCTTGAATGCTTTAATAATTTGGCTTTATACTTATGTATATTTGCCAGGTATGTCTGACAAGGACTGTAAAATATATCCCTTTCATATTTCTGAAGTACATTCATTTCAAATAAACCATAACTTTTTAAGTTTGTCCTACATGACATAATGCCCTAAAGTAAAAAATTTATAAAGACCTATACTCACCAATAGCTTGCCGATATGACTGTATAGCAGCTGATGTATTTTTCATCTCCATATATTCATGACCCATCAAGGTCCATGATGATAGATAGTGGGGGTTCAATTTTAACGCTCGTTGGAAATATAACACAGCCTTTTCATGTTGACCTCTTAATGAATAATAATTACCTGCAATAAATTCAGAGTTCTAATATTCAGTTATTATAATAATAAGTTACTTTATCATATGAGTCCATTAATTATAATTTGCCAAGCATTCAAGCAAGATATAAAGCATTGGCCCTATAAACTATAGATAAAACTTACTTTCGAACAATTATACTCATTGAATCATTCTGAATTTCAATTGGGTGTATTCTAGAGTGACTTCTTAGGATTCTAGAATTGCAGTCAAGAAAGAATTTAAGAATATTTTACTATCATGGCCAGTGCTTCTATAGGTGAGTATCTTGAATAACACCCAAAACTATCTTGGCTAGAAAGATAGATCACATGATTTGATGTGATAAAAAAAGTTTATAAAAATAAGTCCTACCTATTACACAACATGTCTCCACTCTATATTTATCTATATCACAACTTCTATGAGCTAAATGAGCTAATTCAGCCTCCATTTCCTGTTAGAAAATATCATCAAAACAACTTTATGACTGTTCAAACTTGAAGGACGAAAGACATTTCATATCAAAGAGCATCATGAAATTGTATTCTATGGAATAAATTGAAACTTCTGTGATTATAGTCTGTTACACAAGTTTAAAATATAAGGGATTCAGTCTAATAAATCTTTCATATTTGATGTTCCAAAATTTGAAAATTATGCTGATCACACCAGAGTTTAAATTCAAATGTTTATTGGAAATTGGAAATGCCCCCTGTTATCTTAAAAAAACAAGAAATTCTCTATTCCTTTTAGTACAATGTGATAAAATTGTACCAACCTTAACATATAATAGATTAGAATAAATATCCATATTCTCTAGTCTATATGGATCTAAAACTTGTAACTCTGTGAAGGCTGCTACAGCCTGGTCCACCTCTAGAACATTTAAAATATAGATGTGAGATTAATACAAGTATACATGTAGTTTATCAGCACTGGAGGAAAATCAATAGATTTGACATTGGAGGAATATCACATATTGCATTCACTGTTTAGAATTATTTTTCAAAGATGTATAAATAGCGAAATAGTTCAGGAAAGGTGTATTAAATGTCGGAATACTTTTATTATATATTTGAAATAAAATAACAAAAATAATTGACAGAAGTTGTCATGGTTTTTCTTCTCTGGATATTCTTGAATATGTAAAAATAAAGAAAAAAAAATAATAATAATTGCTCTAATATAAATTATATCATTATCACGAGCTCCCAAAAATGTAAAAAAAAGTAATGAAATTATAGCCATACCTCTCATATTATGATAAGCTACAGCTATCTGAGATATTATATATTTACTCTTAGAGAATCCATTATCTAAAAACAGCTGATAAATCTTCAAAGGTTCTTCATTCAGTTGTAATTCCAGATAAACATTGGCGAAAAATAACTGTTTAACCCAGTGTTCTGGTAGCTCTAAACTTGTTAACTGAAATCAAATTAAATAAAAACAATTAGCCTAAATAGAAAGTCTCATTAATTGAGAAAAATGGAAAATTTGAGGTGCTCAAATAAGTCAAAACTGTAGATTAAAATCTTGCGATTTTACCTAATCTGAAAGTTTTAACTTGCTGTTCATTTTCAAAATGACAAATGTTTTTAGTTGGTGTTAAAAGACTAATGTACAGATTTAAGCAAATTAAAGGCTAAATTGAAGAGAAATATGTCTCCTACATCAGAATTATCAGAAAAACCTTACCATTTCTCTGTCAGTTATAAGTAGAGCTAATTCCTGCCAGGCTCCCCAATGTAATGGTTCTAATGTAACAGACTCTACCAATATCTCTACTGCTGTTTTATTTAAATCTAACTTCCTTAATATTACTCCATATCTAATATTAGAAAAGATTGAAATATGATGGACATTTGGAAAGGTCAAGTAGAGAAATGTCCATAAATAAATGTTCAATTTCAAACCATTGATTTTATATTACTTGTTTTTTAATTAGTATTTCTGCTACCATTATTTTGTAGAATTGTTTTGTTTAGTTTGGAAACAATAATTTAACTTCCATTTTTTTTGGAATAAAGATGTTCGAAGCAAATTCGGAAAACTCATTGCACAGGATAGAAGTAGTCAAAGAGAATATTCTACAATGTAAAGATTATTTAATCTGATAAGATACTGTTGGCATCAAGACAGCTGATTCTATACTAGCAATAATGTACAAAAAATAGTGTTCTGAAATAATACTGATAGATATCTTACAAATATAAACCAAAACCATCCAATTCTTTTGCCATGTGTTTCTTCTGTAACTCAACATGTAACAATTTTAAATCTTTAAATTCTTCTAGTTCACCAGGACCTAATAATGACAATAAAATGATAATCATAATGAAGATGATTATGATAGTTATAATATATAAAGATCCTTAAATTCCTCAATTTCAGTTCACAGGGCATAAACATGACAAAGAAAAAAGCTATGAACTGCAATATATGTATAAGTTGAAACACTTATTCAGTCTAAAAGCGGAGTCTGGCCAGGAATGCTCATTCTTAAATATATCTTTTTTCACTCTCCAAAGTTGACAAACCTCACTCTCCAAAAGAGTTGACAAACCCAATGATGCAAAAGTATACCCTGTCTGCTAACAACATCCACCACAATACAGGACAGGGGTTCAGATTCCAAATAAGTAATCTTACCCATAGAATCAGAAGCATTATCCAACCTTTTCTTTTCATCAGCTAAATAACGACCGTACACATGAAGAAAGTAAGCCTGGTAACTCTGACAATGTTCAACTTCTTGAGCAGCTCGACCATATTCTTTTAAATCAAAATATGTCGTGGCTAGTGTATATTTATCAAACTCTTCAACAAAACTCTAAAAAAAGATAGAGTTATAACATATTCATAGTTATACTTAATAGAATAATATTAATAAGATAAATGTAAAATTATAAGATTTTATTAACAAGTGTCAAAAGATTACCAGGCATTAAGTTATTTTTTCATTAAAAGAATTGTCCTTGATTCCTGCTATTAGAGACTCACCTTTCTTAATGGTGGTTGTATTAACTCTTTCAGTTCCACTTCAGCCTTCACAGCCTGGGACATTTCAGCTGCCCTAATAAAAAAAAAATTAACTTGCATACCTCTCAGTATCATTCTTGGATGCTTAATAATTCTTTCCTTGGAAATTTTAGGCCCAGCTTATCTTACCTTTAATGCTATCAAAATGTAAGCTGCGACATAGAAATTCAAGCGTCACTTAACGAGTAAAATTGGTTCATATCTAAAAATGTTTAAAGGGTCGTTGCCAGGAACTTAATCATGACTTGGTGTAAAGTAGGCTTCTTATTTTTTACTACCTGTTTCTTCATCTTCAAACAAAAACAAGGCGGTATAGAGGTGGCTCAGAACAAGTCCTTTATAAGGGATAACATCCCTTTAAATGAAATTGAAGTGGTCAAGGGGAGATAACTACACTTTTTGATTGAGGGAATGAATTGTCGTTGCTTATACAAGTATTACTATAAAATACCGGTACTTAGATCGTTTTTGGAAGATGTTAAAAGTGTAAAATGAATGCAAATACATACCATTTCGCAGAATTTAACAATCGCCTTTCTGAACATTTTCTATGAGCTGTAATAAGCTCTGATTTCATAGTCGGCAAATCGTATTTCCATATATCAGACATTTTGAATTCAGCGTCACCTTGAAAATGTAAACAATGCAGTTACCTCCTCTTTGATACATTTTTGTAAATATTTTTTTTATTAATTTATGGCAATATTTCTAACAAACTGCAAGAAAATTGTACATCGTTTATTTCACAATAATATATTCTGAGTTGGGGATGCCTTTTTAATTGTTTTATGTTTCATTTAATTACGGGAAAAATTAAATAATGGGAGCATATGATGGAACAGCAAATAAGGGAGATGAACAGAATAGCGGAAGTGTATAGTGAGTATGCGCGATTGAAGCGTTCTCGGCAACGAAATTTGACAGGTGCTTGTTTTCATGAAATATCAACAATTTCACTACAAATAAATTGGTTTTCACTTAAAAATCAACATGTTTCGGAAAGAAAAACCAATTTCCATCAAGGGAAGCACGTCATCTTTGTGCAACAATCTGTCCGTTATGACAAATGCTGAAAAAGGTCTGTTGAGTTACGCAGTGGTGCACAAATCGATTGTGAACATTATCCAGGCCTCAACTGATGGATCAAGTGTGACAGGAAAACAGCTAGTTTATAAAGAACCTACAACTTCTCATGGCAATCCATTTGTCTTTCAGGTTTGTACCAGTTTCATATTATAATTGCAAGCAATTTAGGGTCAATTTTACACTATATATAGCAAACAAATTCATGCTGAAAGTGAAATGATTAAGACTTTCAGTGACGGTGTTCCATTTTGTTTTTAGTGTGTGACAAAGACATATTTATGTCTCTTTAAGTTAATGACAGTGCTATGTGAAGCACAATTTATCTTTTTGATGTATGGGATAATAATAATAACATGATTCTCTTTAATTTACTTAAAACAGGCTAAATGGATAGAGTTACCTCAGAGAACAGTTTTAGTTTTAACATCACAAAGGGGCATACAGGTTTGTACAACTTTTTCATTGCCATTAATAACAGCAATAAAATAGGTCTAGGGCATACTATTATGGACAAAAATATGATTTTGAATATTCCTTGCAATATGATTTACCTGTAATCTAGTTGATGTAAACCATTCATCTTTTACATCTTTTACAAAACTTCAGTATAAATTTAAAATTATGGACAAAAATATGATATTGATTATTCTCAACAATAACATTTAGTCTAGTTCAATGTACTTTATCTTAGATATCAGTAAATATTATAATATTTCAGACTGGTAATCATACATGATGGATCATCAAAAAGAAGTGTATTTTATAGACATTTTTTGATGGCAAAAGGTTGTTTCTATTCTGTCGCTCTCCTGGCAAACTTTCACTGTTGCACATTAAATGGCTCTACTCCACCAGTGTTCAATTTGTAGCAGAATAATAAGACATTAAACCCTATTTTATATCAGTTTTTCTCACGTTTTTAGATTTTTGATGGTGATGGATCAACCATGATATATTGGCATGCTTTAAGTGATGAACCAGGTATGTTTATGGTTTTTTTAATCTCAGAAACTTTCTTTGTATTCACTTAATACATTATCTTATCACCTAGCATACAGAGTTCAAATTGTCCGAAAGGACATGTTTATTATGATTATTGGTAGTAAAAGTAACTTATGTTTAAAGAAACAAGCTTTATTGTGAATTGTATCTAAATGACTAGCTAGAGATTTCAGAGAGACTTTATAATGACTTTCTTTGATGACTTCTGAATTTTTTAAAAACGAAATATGGTGATGAAGTAGACATTCTTTTATAATGGTAGAAAATTTTATTTGATATATTGTTGTATTATATTAGATAGAAGTTGTTTTGGTCGAGGTATAACAGACATGGGTGATAATTTAATATGTATAGGTAGGTAGGCCTAGAGGGATATAGGCGTCTAAATATTTACTTATATAGAGATCCAGTGCAACTATCTTTATCACCTCTCAGACCCCATGTTTTCCTGCAATTCAATCGAAGCTTACCATTGAAGTTTTGACTAACATTTTTTAAAATCTTGATCTGTCGATTTCTATGTCAACATCTCTCAAATAAAATTAGTTAATATTTTCTCAGAATGATTTGCTTTTAAAATCTCTAACTGGCTGGAGTATGTGAGACCCAATTTGTATTACGATACTTTTATAAGCTTACTTTCTTTACTATTTGGTTTCTTTTAAAAGACTAGGATACGTCTAATAAACTAATAAAATAAGAGAACATAATTTGGTATACTGCCGTTATATTTCTAGGGACCGAAGGAGGCCATATTCTCATATTTAACATTCCACCAAAAGGTACTAATGTCTGTCTATTAGATGTTTTAAAAGGTCAGTATTAATTTGTTATGACTATTGTTTTATCTTTAATCTCTAAAGATTGTCTCAGATGTTTTTCTGATTCTGTGCAGCGAGTCATCATTGGACTTGTCTCCAGGTTCTTATTAAGAAATTCATTCTGTCAATAACAATTTAACTGAAGAACAATATTCAAAGAGATATTTAATCTTTGTTTGCTACTTTGAACTTCAGAAGACCTGCGTCCTCACTGAAGTGTGCAGATGTGTTACAAACTTTGGCCTACAACATCTTTTCATGTTAACCCATTTTTCATTCGGGCATAATAAATGGAATACATTTCAGTTACACTGCCATACTTAAAAAATACACAACCATTTGATTATCAAGTCTATTTTTCAGGATCTCATCCATGTGCTATCTGTGATTTAGCCAGTGAGAAGAATATATTAGTCAGCAGTGATGATCAGGGTAATATAGCTGTCTGGAAATTTTTAGGTCAACAATTTCATTTGGTTCACAAAATAGCTGGTGGAGGGTAGGTTTAATTGGTATTGTGACCATTCTGATATACTTTGGTGGAAACTCAATTGGTGGGTTCTGGACAGGTTCTGTCTGTACCAATACCAGGTGTCAACCAAATATGTCACATTCAAAATAAACCCTTTTATTCAGCCATTTTGAATTCTGTTTAACCCTACCTTTTCTGTTTGCACAAATTGTTTAATTAAACTTCTGGACATTTTTTGATTCTGTGAATCCAAAATGAGCAGAACTCACCAATCTAGTACCTCCTAGATTCACTCCTGTATTAGAAACATTACTGAAATACCAAAATTACAAGTAGAGTCCCATTCCTGATATGGCTCTTAATTAAGCCAAAAATCCAGATATTATATTACAGAGCCCCATGTACTAGCTAATTCTACCTTAAGTGTATTTCAGAGTCCCATGTTCTAGCTGATACTATCCTATCTTGTATTATAGAGCCCAGTGTACTAGCTGATACTATCCTATCTTGTATTATAGAGCCCCATGTACTAGTGTATCTATATGGAAAGATGTTGTGGTAGGAGCCTATGGTACTGGTCATATTAGAGTATATGATGCTACATCAGGCAGGATTGGAGCTGAAGTTACTGCCCATGCTAGATGTATAAATAGTTTACATGTTGCTAAAAAATCTGGTCTTGTAAGTATGTCGTTAAAGCCTTTATAATATACATATAATTACTGCCTAGTTAATGGTTAAGTCAACTAAAGATGATTCTTTCTAAATATCTTAATGATTCTTTGTAAATTTGTGCCCATATTGCTCTTACAAAGATACAGTGATTCTCGAACCATAGATCTACCAAATTAATGCTCTCCGTAAGCATCTGAGCTTTTAATCTCATAAGATATAAATAGGGTATGGAAACAGGTCCATAATCCAACTACTACGACTACCAAAAACTACCTAGTTTGCGATATCAGCATCCGCTGGAAGCGAACGTTAACTTGTCATCTACCAACAACTACCTAGTTTGCGATATCAGCATCCGCTGGAAGCGAACGTTAACTTGTCATCTACCAACCAACCAGACCTTTGCTTTGATAACCTCTTCCCTTGTATGGTTTAATAGTAAATAATAATAATAATAAACTTTTTGTTTTACTTGAGTCAGAATTAGGTCCACCACACCAAAGTGACATAGTCCTGTCTTACATTAAGCCCAGAAGAGACCACAAAGAAGAGATGCTGTAGATTTAAACTGACCTCTGTTGCATTTTATATTCCAGTTACTTTCAGTTAGTGATGATTCATTTTTTAGAATTTGGCAATTAAAAGAAGGCAGTTTACCTCAGGTTTGTGATTATACTATTTCTATTCTAAATGGTTTAAATAATATGGAGTCTTCTATAATACAGTAAAGTTCTGATTAATACAAAAACCATAAGGGGAACTCTGATATTGGCTTTGCAGATAGAAGTAAACTCTAATGGTTTTGTTTAGTCTTTTCTTCACATTGTCATGCTATTACGAACTTCGTACTTATACCTTGACTGCAACAGTAGCCTTTCTTGTCTCATGGAAGTTTGTAAATGAAGAGATTCTTTAATTATTCTTGAATGATGCAAATAACGAGCTTATATTCTAATATAAAATCTTCACCAGCACAACTGAATTGGAAATTTGCAGAAAAGTAATGGAGTTGTTCTGTGTTTCAGATTCAACATAAATATCAAGAAATAGTTGAAGATTTACAGCTAGTTGGAGGTAGTTTTGTTGATAGTCAAGGGAGAGCACTCTGTTTAACTGGTTATGATAATAGTGAAATTCATTTTTATGTACAAAACTAGCTGTATTTATTGTTTTTAGTTTTTTATTCATTTCATGTATTTGTTTATCTATTGGATGTGCCATTTCTTAGTAAAAGATCTTGACTCACTCAAAGGGACAGGTGCGCCCTTCTGGGGGAGGGGGGTTAATTTTTGAATATATGTAAATAGTTTCAGAAGTTATAGAAATGTACGAAATTTGATAAATTCCTTTTAAAAATATCTAAAACTAGGAATTTCTTTTCTTATTTTTATAGATGTCTTTTCTATATATGGCGGATATTACTGGACACACATGGATTTGAAGGCTTAACTTTTAACAGTGAGCTGTGAGTACTAAAACTGATTGGCTTAGCTAAAAAAAACATCATGTTTCTGAGACTGAAGTATGATTGGTCAACAAATGGTGCACCTGTTCCTTTTAAATAATTTTGAATGATCTAATTTGATATTAAATGACTTATATTAATTATATCTGACTTATTTGATCTTGAATGACTTAATTTGATCTTGAATGACTTATATTAATTATACCTGACTTAAATTAATCTTGAATGACTTAAATTGATCTTATCTTGAATGACTTAAATTGATCTTGAATGACTTAAATTAATCTTGAATGACTTAATTTGATCTTGAATGACTTATTTTAATTATATCTGATTTGAATTAATCTTGAATGACTTAAGTGATTGCTTAATGTTGTTGCTTGTTTGTTACGGTCTTTTTTTGTTGTTAAAAATTGGTAGTGATAAAGTTGCTACATATGTGGTCTTTGATGTTCATCTGTAAAGGTATAAGATCTAGCATAGGCTTAATTAAAAATTAAAGGGGTTTTCATGGCTTTAGGAAAGTAAATATGTCAGTGTTTCTATCCATATTGTATTTAGGGAGAGCTATATAGCGTAGCAGAAGATATTTGCTGCCCATTGGTG